ACTAAAGCGGTGTAAATTGATTAACATAGTTAATAAATGATTATTGTAAAATATTAATTACGGTTTTTGTGAGATGCAAGGATTTAAAATCCTTGTGAATTGAAACCATGCAACTATTTGTTTCCATTCACTACAGTTTAAATACTAATTTATTCATGTGCACCCCTCACATATGTTGCATATAATTATCATAAATGTATTTACTATCAAAATCTATTGGGCATAATATTCTAGTAATGATAAATTTAGGTGTAATATCACCAAATCATAGTACGTTACATCCGGTTGCATACGAAAAAGGGTCGAAAAAAAAATCCCTTGAATTTGACAGTTGTAGGAAATTGATCCTACATTTCATTGCATTAAAAAATTTGTGAGTCATAAACATACATCTTGGGTGTTTCAAAGCACCAATCCTTTATTTTTTGGTGTTTCTATAAAATATTTTGGAGGTTACATGGTTACTAAAGCTTGTAAACAGGAAAGAAAGGGGTGGACATTTGATTTGTTAACTTCCAGTGATGGTTATTATCTTATATGTGAAATTTTGTCTGTAGTACTGGACAGGATAAAACTTTACTCATGCCAAATATTTCTTTATTTAAAGTAAAGGTAAATTTTGCACAATTTATTGAAAAATGCAAATTTAACAGACTAATAGGGGAAAAACAATAGTGATATTACACCTATCAGTGTCAGTAAAAACATAATAATTTTAATGAGCATTCCCTTGGTCTATTAGTATCTATTAATGAAATTAAACATTTTTGACAGAAATATTGTTTTGTTTAATTCTACTTTCCAATCACCGTGTTTCCGACCTAAGATGAATATTTTTTAACAGAAATATCGTTTTATTAATTTGCTTCTTGCTTTCCGACATTTGCTCAGGCTATGATGGAAATACAAAATATCACTTGGCAAATGCTCAGAAATAATCGATTTATTCTGGGACATAAGATATTGTCAGTATACTATTCCCAAATTTATTGCCTCATTGCACGTTGTATTTTAATACTACACACAACGCGTACAGGGGCCGTCTGGAAACATATAATTACGTTATCATTATACTTGATATTTTAAAATAAACATTCAGATTAAAACGCATATGCTCTGTCAAAAGTCAAATAGCTTGGAATATAAAAATGATTTTTTTTTACTACAATCAAGTGTTAACTTTTGGACTTTCCGATCTACAAATAAAATTTGAATGTTGAAATATACATCATCACGTGGTCGCATATCATAGTGGGATCGTATCGACATATATATATATAAGTGCCAGTATAAATGATCGAAAATGTTCGAGACGTTCCGAGAATCTTGTTTCCAAGGATATCTGAGTGACCTGTAGAGGCTACCAAAACTCAGCAATATATAGGAGTGAAGGGGGTTCACGCAAAAAATCAAAACTTAATCAATGTAACAAACAATCAAACTAAGTAGACTATTTGTGATATACTATAATAATTAATGTTGAAGACCATAAGTTGATTTTTATGTCTTTTTATATTTGCGTCGTTGGGTTGCTGTCTCATTGAAGTATTACTCGACACCTTTTATTCATCCATTAATATTAGCAATAACATACGCAGTTTTCACATATGGACAAGTGATTCAAGAGAACAATTCGATTTTAAAGTCTATGAACAAAATTAAAACTATTCCGAGCTATTCTTATTTGGGACATGTCATTACTGTTTCGTTTAAGACTTTAAGTTAAAAAAAACCAAAACTTTACACATGTTTTATATACTTGAATGGCTAAGGTTTAATATAAAACACGAGCACAAAGACTTTCTTTTGAAACGAAAATCCTTTATTTATTAAAATCTTCATAAATGTACTGATAAATTGTTTTCCAGTACTTTAATTCGCTGACTGCTTTTTGGTATGCAGTGGCCAATATCAAAATAAACAAACAAATAAACATCGTTTTATCATCTCACTCATTTTTCTCGTGCTCCATGATTTTGTGTTGATTGTTTTTCCAGGTCACGATCGATAACTTTCTGCACTTAAACCCAACAATTAATTAGACAAAGTTTTCGACCAACAATCACCGAATGAAATAATTTTTGCTGATCATATGTCATCGATTCGTAAAATATGTAAAAAGAAAATTGCACAGGGGACGTAGTTTAGTATATATGCATGCATTTGTTGAGTAATTCCCTTAACATTATATTTACAAGAAACTCGTTTCAATATTTTATTTATGAAAATTTATATATTTGGACGGAGTAATCATAAATACATATAATTTAGCTTATCATCACAACAACAAAAAATAATCCAACTACATTTGTTTTTGTATTTCTAGTCTAGAAATTTGTTTGTACAAATATATAAAACAATTTTAATTTTCATGATTTACATATTCTAATTTGAAATGGATCACACGAATAACTTCAACCGTAATGCAAAAATAAACAACACACACAAGCAACAACAACAAAAAGAAAGTCAGCATATTATATGGCAACACGTTTTCTGTTATTTTTATATAAAGTTAACACTTTATCTTTCAATTTTAATAAAAAAAACTCTCAATTGTACATTTTTCCTTGAAGAAAACAATTTCTTTCGCGTGCATTGTGTTAAATCCTGAATTAAGCAATTTTACCATATTTTTGTACAAGAAACATTTTAAAGTGTAGAGGCAAATACGATTTTTCCTTACAACCAAAAGTTGACATTTTTCTATTAACTGAATTTCACAAGATAGTTTGCTGTGTTCCATTTTCCTACCATTTTATCTAAGCGCGTATAAACGTTGATACATATTTTAATGCACCAGATGAGCATTTTGACAATAAATGTGTCTTCAGTGACCATCGAGGCCAAAATAATTGAAAATACAAAAACTGAAAAGCTAATAAGCCAAAAAGGACTAAAAGTAAAGCAAAACCGGAACAAGGATTCAAAGCTATGCATGAGGGAGATATATTTTTATTCCTTAATTAAAAATGATTTCCAAATTGAAACTTTCAATATACCTATATTGTCTTGTCTTGGTTCTGTTTGATTTAACATTAAATTAAAACAGAACGCCATCATTTGTGCATTTAAAATAACATAGAACGAGAGGAACATGGGTTTGGTGCCATCTTATCTCTCTCATTTACAAATCGCATAAATCAACAAAAGGCTTCACAATATATCTCGGAAAACACCTTACTCAAAAGACAAATTCACTGCAATCAAAAAGTAGATATAACGACCTCTTAAATTTATCACCGGTTAAAGTTATCATTATCGTTCATTTTTATCTCTTTTCTATTATTTATGTCGAGGTTACATGTATATACACATACATAAACATTTACAAACGTAAAAGCACATGTCCTGAAATTGAGCATATACTTATAATTCAATTACTGACCCAAATACGGCTAAAAAATCCTTTCATACGCTTTTAAGGCGGCTGTTCTTCTGCAGAACAGTTTTCCGTGGAACTTCTATACACTTTAACGGATGTCAAGCAGAAACGAGCACTGAGAAAAACAATGACTTTATGATTGAGTGCAAAACACTGTAAATCCAAGTCTTAATAGTCTTCATGTTAAATCCATGAATGATAGAAACTTTACATTAAAGGGGCACAAGCTACGAGATATTAAAAAAATAAAATCTGATTTTTTTTTGTTAAATCATTAATGAAAGTGAAATAGTGAAATAATAATTCGCTTTTAGCAGCCAGTTTGGTTCAATTTTGTCAAAATAAGCTAATAAACATCGCTGATAAATTATTCACTTGCAAGTGAATAATTCGACCTCACTGAGTCCATATTCATGTGACCTTCAATTTAATCCTTTAGCTAGAGATTGGTTACGCATGAATTAGGTGTGTTCAGTTATCAAAAGGAAAAAAAAGGCCAACATTGAAAGTGAAACAAGGGTAAACCATTTTGATTGACTGATTCGATCCACAAATACTCATTCTTATACAGGTAAAAACGATGATTAACATATAGTTTTAGCCTATAATATGAAATCAAACAGACCTAGAAAAATCTAATTGCACGAGTTCGCTATCTATTTATATCTATATTTATGTTTATATCGGGTTATATGACCGTCGGCTATCTTCGGAGGTCACCTCGATGGTAAATTAGATGGCGTTTAGACTAAAATACACAAGAAATGCGGATACATATTATTAAGCCCATGCATTGTAAACTGTTTATTTTAGACTTTTCATAATTGGGATATACGTTTTAGTATGTTATAAATCAAATATGAGAGTTTGAGTCAAATCGGTGAACATGAATTTGACAGCTAATGCCCTTTTAAACACGAAGAAAAAAAGTGAATATATTTTGTTTCTTTGTATGACTTAATTATAACCTATCAGAAGGCAATTAGAAAATAAAACACTCTGAGAAATTAATCATCTGGTTTCCGATATAAGAAATGTACTCTAAGGGTCCTACTATACACCAAATCAGCCATGACATTATGAAATTATGAAGTAAATGTTTTATTTCTTTGCATGATTTATTTTATTGTTATTAGGTCACAGCTTTGTTCTTCAATTAACAGTTGTGGCATGATCGCCAGTTTGAAAACAATTACACTCAAACCGGTGCAAGGGCCGTCTCAAACTTGCAGTGAGGTGAGAGTTTAGTTGCCCCGTGTTGAAAGCATCATTGTGATTTTGAAATGAAGAACAGCAATACAAGCGCTGTTCCTTTGCTTTTGTGTTTTTTGCTGTGCGTGTACTAATTTTGTTTAAGGATGGATACCTGATATCCTTTCTTTTCTATTATGTAAAATGACAGAGTTGTTTTAAGACATAGGGTTGAAAACGAATCTTCTTTACAAAATCCTATGAAATGTCTTTTCGGACAGGCTTTTAGGAAGGCGATCTATGGAACGACCTAAAAAGGCAATGTAATTTCACATCTGTAATTTGTTACGGTCTTTAAGAGATAGTTGCCTCATAGGCAATCATCTCCTATCTTTCCATCTTTATAAATTATAAGTCGAACCCGAAATATTTGAAGCACTTTTAATCTAAACAACACACGAAGGTTGACGATTGAATTATTTGATTACAGCTAAATTGTGCAGTGGTTTCAGTAGAAGCATAAATCATGGCTATCGTTTCTGCAAAACTTGGTCAATTGGGTTAAACCATTTATTTCATAAAATATTTAAAACTAAATGTTCATTTGCAATAAAAAGTCATTTTGACACTTACATGGCCCGTAAACAAGTCTGTTCTCAAATACAACCGCCATATGACAAATTCTCCAATGCATGTTTCAGTTGGGCTTTGTGATTACAGAAAGAAAATATTAATTTCTTTTCTTAATGTTAATTTCTTTATTGGTACCAATAAGTAAAAAGGTTTCAAAGAACTCCATTTTATCAAATTACGTACGGCAGATGCAAGGTACATGTAATAGCATTATAACCTTTAATGTCACATAATTTATATCAAAAATAAACAAATCAAAAACCAATGAACAATTCAAAATTAACATGTTACTAAATTTTACATTGTTACAAAACTCTTGCCTCATTTTCTTAATTTTGGAAACAAACCATATGTTAAATAGAAAATGTCATATTCTGTAAGATGCTTAGTGGTTCAAATACCGTATAGGTGGTGGTGAACTATTTAGCCTGAAATAGAAATAGATAAAAATATTAGTAGTGAAATTTCTTAGAAACATAAATTTTCAAATCGTGGTCTCTTTTGTCAACCTTTTATACAGAGGTGCATCAATCAAGCTTTTCTACAAGCTCGTGCATAGTTGAGTTAAAGTTTGGACTAATCCAGAATAGTCTACACATGATTGAGGAAAGTATCTCAAGGTAAACTGAAACCGTGAATGTCCATAACAAAAAAGCGCTTAAATAAAAAAAAAAAACAACCAATGTACTCTTCGACGAGGGCTTACATACAATAAAAAAACAATTTACTCTTCAACGAGGGCTTACATAAACTAACATGTGCTGTTCAACTAGGGCTAACACAAACTAACATAATGTGATCTTCAACGACCCTCATTATTAATTTCTATATGCAAGTCAAGCTATGAGTCAGACTTAACTGTTATCCGTTATTTTAAGTTAAATTGGATAGATACGTTCATATATAGTCATCAAACTTTGAAATATTTAGTCGGAGGACATTATCTATATGGCCGTGAAGTTAAAAGATAATGTTATCTTCTTTTTATTTTTCACGAGAATCCCCTCAATGAATAAATAACATTTCGTCGCATAATGCACCTATTTATAAAAGGAACCATTCTTCCAAAGGTCGTTTTTAACTCCAAGGACTTTATATATGCATATGTATAATAAAATATAAGTTTTATGCAATGTGTAACCTAACAAGTTGTACTGGGAGTTATTGCTCGCTTTAAGTATTCGGTAAATATGAAGTCAGCCAAAATTGTATGGGACGGATGGATGAAATGAAGGAAAGACGTGAATCAGTATTGTCCCTCCTTTCGGACTTATGGTATACCTATATATCTGAGGTTGGTGTAAGCCTATATTTGTTATCAAATAAACATACCTATTCCAATAAGTCTCATAACTCATTTGTTTTATAATTTCAGATTTTAATTTATTTTAAAATTCCACTTACCAATACCTTTAGTTCAACACTGAATTTTTTCACTGATTTTTCTTTATTTCTAAAATGCAAAGTGCCGAGCCAGTTTCCATAGTCGCCAAGGGAAACCGATTCAATAGTGTAAGGAGGCAATCTTGTGCCAACTTTAACGTTATTATGTTGCCAGTCAACTATCTTAATGTCGTTGATCTCAAGCAATTCAGGTAACAGTTCCACTTTTGAACTAACAGTCGCTTCCATTGGTTTTCCTAAAAAACGAAAAAAAATTGCTTTTAATTGTCAGGATTATGTACACACATTGTCCAATAACCTTATCGTTAATTTAATATTAATTATTTGGAGGATGACAAAGTAGTGTTGTAATTGTATACATGAAGTGCTTCCTGTACTTAAATTACTACACGATCAAAATGACAGGCACCCTGAAAGCTGTAATCTATTACTGCAATCATTAGAAATTTATACATAGCTGAGGTGATTCCAAAGTGCCAAATCATTGTATTGAAATTAGTAAAATTATATATGGATATATATAAAGTGAAACAAATGTGTTAACTAATATTTGATAGACCCCCCCCCCTTTTTTTTTTAGTTCCGTTTCGCTCAATTTCTGCACCTGCTGATAGAATAGACGAAGATAATTTTGCATGAACAATAGAATATAAGGCACTATTCTAGAAAAAAAAACCCAATGATATATATGAAGTAAAAAAAAATTGAACATGTATCGTACATAAATCTAATAATTTTCAAATGTTAAGGTTAACAACACTTGCAACACTGGGACACATCAAACAAAGAAAGCTGTTGATAAGATGGCAATTAAAAGGCATATATAATTTAAAAGCACAAATTATCAATGGACAGTACTGCATGGGAAGGTTGGTGATCGATGCTCCTAGTACTTTAAAATATTTTATAATAAAATGGTTTGGTAGCGTTTGAAGAAACGCAAAGATGGTATATCATCTACGTGCCGGATGAAGAGTGAAATGTGTCTTAGAAGGGGATTAACTACAGGAACGATGCTGAATAATATTACTTAGTGCTCATTTTTCTAAATAGAAAAATTACATACATATATGGAAAGAAGTGTACAGTGATTGTTTTTGTCCATCCACCAAAGTACCGATGACTTTACCACATGTAAACGGATGTTGCATTATATAAAATAACCTTACATGTTATGCAATAATGGATAACGGATAACAAACATGATTGAAAGAAAAGTAAAACAAAACTCATCAAAGATTCCAGGATTATAATATCATAGGCCCGACGCACGTTTCGTATACAATAGACTCATAACTGACGCTCGAATAAAAAAAAAATAAAAGGCCAAATAATGTATGAAGTTGGAGATCACTGAGGACCCAACATTCCGAAAGTTTTGCCAAACACAGCTAAGGAATCTATTCCTGGGATAGAAAATCCTTAGTATTTCGATCAATTGAAAGTTTTGTAAACAGTTAAATTATATATAAGCGCGATAAAATCAAAATCGTTAATCTATTTACACAAACATTTAGACAATTTTATGATCCTTTGTGTATTCAGGTGTGTCAGTGATTTATCTGAATGAAAACATGTAAATACTCCCTATGTAATACTTCGTTCTTTTTGACGCTGTTAACGATTTTTTGTTAAATAACTCACAAGGGGTATTTACAATGTCTATAGATGGTTTGTTGTCCTCTGTTCATAAACCTTTAGGAATTCACTATGTTCGACCTAAATTGTTTTCGATACCTTTATCTTAGCCCAATTCACTCTTTCGAAAGTCCAAATACACTTCCGTTATTGAAACAAATTGTTTGCAATAATTATGGACATTACTAACCGTAGTCTATTCAAACTAGTAACAACTACTTCCTTAGATGACGACGAACGTAGTTCTTTTCACTTACAATTTGCTAATAAGGGTTTTGATGCCATCAGTATGAGCATTATTTTCACCAAAAATCTGTGCAGAAAATAATAAATGATAACTTCAAAGATGAAACTACATTTGTCATTTGATGTACCTATTGTTTTCCAAGATTTTCAACGACAAGTGGGTAGTAGAGACCTTTATCCTCAGTGCTGTAAAATCCAAACCTCCTGATTGCTCTTATGTATCGTACCCGTACAAATATAGTTCTGCTGCTCATGTTATAACTGGAGACCGTGGCATCGTAAACAATGAACAACTCAACCGAAGGCCCGACATATCGAATTTAACAACCCATCAACTGGGAGAAGAACTTCGGGTATCTGATGAATGCAGTTGAAGACTATGCCAGAAAATGGGTAAAATCCACACTAGTTGAACAAAAACTGGACACTTTTTAAAAATTAAACAGAGCTGTTTGTTCATGCGTGTTCAAAAGCGCAATCAAATTGACGATGTTCACTGGTTTCTGATCCCTTCAAGAAATCCGAAGTTGTGGATGCTTTATTCTCCTTTCGCGACACATATGTGGTTGTTCATGCAGACAAACTCTAAAAAATATTGTTTTTATATACCACAAAAAAAAAACCCACTATAATTTGGAATGTATCAGCAAGAACTTGGAATTCACAGCAAAACTGGGAATCCAACATACATCCTTACATCATTCCCGAATGAGGAGATTTTCGAAATTATGTGATAAGATATACCAACGGTGTCGATCAGATGTGGATTCTTAAAAATTCTAAAGATCTACTTTAAAATCTTCAATCACATTATTTACCATTTTGCAGTAATATCAAAACCTTTGATTTATCTACGCTTTACAATAAAATTTCTCATTCTCAATTTGAAGATCGACTACATCATCTCATCAAACCTAGCTTTTTCTACAAAAAAGGGAAACGTAGATACAAATTCATGGTTTAAGGAAATGAAAAATCCCACTATATGTAGAACTATAATGATTTCAACAACAAATGCACAGAAGATTAAACCATCAACATGCTGGACTTTTTAATCGACAACATATTTGTTGAGTTTGGGGGAATGATCTTTCAGCAGACAGTCGGTATTCCACATTTTATGAGGATAATTGCATATTTAGTCCAGTTATCCTCATAAAACTGATACAGAAATTTTGGTATACACATTTCCTTAAAACAAGCATTCTGAGAGTATTGCATGGCAATACATAGTCCCCTACCGGTTAAGAATGCATTATACTGGAACAAAATGCTAACTTGATCTATAACTTGTCATGGTGTAAACTATATAACAAATAGCTAGTCAATATAGTCAAGCATGACGAAAAAAGTGCGGAAAACTGATTATTTGAGACCATAACTCTGGACAAAATCGTCAGACCAGAACAAAATCGAACTTGATCTGCATCTTGTCAAGATAAAACTACAATGTATATACTAATTGTTAAATCAATATCTTCAAGCATGACAAAAAAAAGCTTGGAAAACTGATTATTTGAGTGAATTTTCTAAGTCCAAGGACCATAACTCTGCACAAAATCATCTGACCAAAACAAAATTCGAACTTGATCTGTAACTTGTCATACTTAAACTATATACCAATTATCAAATCAATATCTTCATGCATGACTAAAAAAAGGGCGGAAAACTGATTATTTGAGTGCATTTTCTAAGTCCAAGGACCATAACTCTAAACAAAATCATCAGACCGGAACAAAAATCGAACTTGATCTGCATCTTGTCAAGATAAAACTACATACTAATTGTTAAATCAATATCTTCAAGCATGACAAAAAAAGTTTGGAAAACTGATTATTTGAGTGAATTTTCTAAGTCCAAGGACCATAACTCTGGACAAAATCACCAGACCGGAACAAAATTCGAACTTGATCTGTAACTTGTCATGATAAAACTATATACAAAATATCAAATCAATATCTTCAAGCATGAAGAAAAAAAAGTGGAAAACTGATTTGCCGGTGACGGATGGACAGACAGACAGACAGACAGACAGACAGACAGAGCGACAGACAGACAGACAGACAGAGCGACAGACAGACAGACAGACAGACAGAGTGCAAACCTTAAGTCCCCTTCGACTTCGTCGGTAGGGAACTAACAAAATGAAAGTAGAAACTGTAAAAGAATTTTTACAAAGGAATACTACTGTTATGTGGCGACATTTGAAAAAAATTCGATATGAATCTTTAGAAGTTATTATCGTGGTCAAAGTAAAACTTACCGTTGACTTGTAGATGAACTTCGAAGGTTTTCGTTTGTTGTGGTCCTGGTCCACCAAATTCCATCTTGCATTGCCACTTTCCAGAATCCTCAAGGGATACACAGATAATATTCAAAGATGGATTGTTCACATTCCCGTTCTTGTACATATCCTGATCACATACAAATGGATTACTGTTATGTGTCCATTTTACTGAATCACTATTCCTGATAAATTGTAACTTTTCTAAAAGATTAACTGGATACGCAGATGCAGCTTTCATTGAAAGTGCTAAAATGAAAAGCATAGCAGATTTTTAAATGACTTTTTCTTTATACAAATGTAATGAAATAGAGGTTTACGTTACTGGGACAACAAACAAACAGTACAATACTTTATAAGTGATTAACAGTGATACTTAAGTATTTACCACGTTTGTTGCCCCAAGAAATGACAATTTCTTAATAGCTATAACAGTAACTACTTAAGATATATGACCAACACCAATTTCTGTAAAGGAAAAGAATTTAAAAATATTAAGCAAAGTCAACATTTACACGGTTCCATATTAACATGGAACGAGGGTTAATTAGAATTGTTAGTACACAAGTACCTTTCCATTTTCTATCTTGATATTGCTGTAACACACAGAAAAAAAACCACAATAAATAAAAGTAACACTTTCAAACGAGTTCAACATTGCAGATGTGTCCACCTCGCCGAAAGATATCAATTTCGATCAAAGTATCCCTACAATCACATATCGCTCAAACATGTGCAGTTTCATTTCCCTGCGTCAATTGATATTCGTCAAAACATGCAGTCGCAAAATGAGTTTACATATCGACGCGGTAAAAAGTTATCTTCAATCAATTTAAGATCTTATTTAGGAGAAAAAATAATATAAATTGAAAATTCTGTTTTCGGAACCTTAAAATTATGACGTTAATCGTAAACACCAGACATTTTTATGCATATTAATTGCATTAGAAATTCGTTTATACTCCAACATACACTACAATATCGTCGTAAATTTTATACTATTTTCAAAATAATAGTTCGATTTTCACTTCCATTTTTTGTTAATTATACGTTCTTGATTTGTAAGAAATGAAATGAATCAGTTTAGTATAAATATGCATGCATTGGTTCAATTATTTTCTATGGGAACCAACTGTGCACCTCTACTGGCTATCCTTTACGAATTTCCATATAAGTATGGGTTCCTTTAGACACTTGTAAAAATAAAAAAGATCAAAGAAGCTCGATCTTTTAATTTTACATACAGGTATATTGATGATGTTCTTTCCATTAACAAACCAAACTTTTCTGATTGGGTCCCATTAATATATCCCCCCGAACTAGAGATTAAAGAAACCACAGATACAAAATCTATGACAAACGAGACGATTTCAATTTTGAAATTATTAATTTTACTCACATTAGCAGCAATATAACAACTTCATCCGCGTATGGAGTATACATTTCTCAATTCACACGATATTCAAGAGCTTGCAGCTGCTACTCATACTTAGAAAACGTCACCGGTGTCTGAGCAAACAATTAATGAGCCAGGGTTTGTCAAAGAAGGTCTCGTCCTATTTCTCAAAAGGTTCATCGGAAAGAACTTCGGATAATGACAAATATGCTGTGTCTAGTACACAAATAATACAAGATGGTCTTGAGTTCTAGATTCTGGGTGCTGAAGTTATGTGTCTTTGTATTTGATTTACAGTTTCCCTTTGTTTGTCTTCGTGCTTTAATGTTTCTTTTGGTCTTATGACTTTTGACGTGACTCGGTAGTTATGCATCCTGCTATCGGGTTTTTTACTTTGGGCATTCCTGGTGCAGGTGGGTCATAAGGAGCGATTCGGATGCAATAAGGTTTTTTGTTTACAATGTTGTTTCCATTGTGTGTACCCGAAGGAGCGTGCTATATACGGTATTTACTATCAACTACAAAAGCTTTTTTATCGGCGTCTTTGTCAATATACTATCAACTTCAAACACGTTTTAATGGCGTCTTTGTCAAATTTAATATTTACTACAACACCACTTTCGGTGGCGTCTTTGTTAAATTTATGTGTATGTTTGTTTGAATTTTCTAGTCAGTTGTGATGTATAACACAATTTTGGCTGCTTTGTCCCAAATATTGTCACATTTACCTGCTTGGGTAGCTCACCCGTTTTTGTCAATATAACGGAACTATAAACAACTGTCATTCAAGTGGGAGGTTTAGCTACATGTAGCTATAAAACAAGGTTTAGCCCACCATTTTCTTCCGAAAATGCCTATACCAAGTCAGGAATACAACAGTCGTTTTTTCACTCGTTCCGTTGATGGATAACGTTTGATTTCATCAGTTTGTATGGACTTTCCCTTTTTGAATTAAACTAGGAGTTTGGTATTATTGTTATACTTTTTTCCTTAACATTATAATTTCAATTAAAAACCAATTGTTCAGAGAACAATTGAAGGTCTTTCCACCCATATAGATCAATTTTGATATAGAACTATGAAAACTCAGTTTGAAATATCATATCAAGCGTCAAACGATAGCTTATTGTACACTGATTCCAAAAATTTATGGTTTCTATACATTTTTTTTCTAAATAAGGGAGATAAATTGTTACTTCCGGTTTGAAATATGTCACTTCCGGTTTAATTTCATAGTTTACTTGATACTGATTCCAAAAATATATTGTTCAATATACTTTTATATTAAATAAGTACAAAAAAAGCTACTTCCGGTTTACACAAGGTCACTTCCGGTTGGCTTTTACATGATCAATTGTCTTGCAACGTAATGCAAAAAGTCCCATGGCTTTATCATGTATACATATGAGATAAAAGCAAAGGTCAAAATATAGAACGTCAATTTTACCTATGACCTTGAGTTCAATTTCAAGGTCATAAAGAAAGGGCTTCAAATCAAAAGACCATAGGTCTTAATTAAAAATGGTTAATAAGTTATATCACTATATTCCTAATTTTTAATATAAGAGGGGAGAAAACTCCAATTTAATGTTAGCGTACCCTTTCAACCAAAATTAAAGTGTTACGACATGTCGCAACTTACAATTTAGTAAAAATATGTTGTCGATATCTTATACGGTTTTTGAAAAGAATTGAAAATAAGCCGAAATCAAAATTTAAAATATGACCTTGACCTCTGACCTTGACCTAGTTTTCTTATTTTTGGATCAAGAACCTCAAATCAAAAGATCCTAGGTCTCTATCACTTATGGTTTACAAGATAGAAATGCATATCACTTATATCACATGCATAAGGGGAAATAACTCTCATATGGAGTGTTCATATCGCTTCGGTCAAAGTAGGACAAATCATGGAAAGGATATAACGAGCAATTTTATAAAATAAATTGGTCGCTTTTTTTTGCGGTGACGGAGTAGATGTAGTCACAAGGAAAACAGTGTTCGGGGAGATAACTCTTACAAAGACAATTGTTCGGCTAAGAATGGGTGAAAATAAAAAGCGCATAAACTGTATGATACTATAAAAGAAATATCTTAGCGACATATTACGAAACAAAAATGTTACGCGAGAACAAAATTTGGCGGAAGAAAATAATAATAATAATCAGAACAAATACAATAGGTCTTTCCACAGAAAAGTGGAAAGACCTAATAAATGGCTTTAAAAGTACGTTCGACTGACTTCTCATCTTAATTCACTCGTATTTTTCTACCGAAGATCAGTGGTATTTTCCAGGTACTGGAACTGCCAGCACCAATAAGTGACCACTATTAAATAACCAAGAGTGATGAATATGGCGTTAAATACAAAAGCAATCAACGAATATCCCCAAATTACGAATACGTTACCTAGAAAGAGATATAATTATGATCTTGTCAATTTTATTTATGCAACCTCAAAAAATTGGAACAAGTTCCCGGATAATTTATTTATAAGGACAATCTAAATTTTGTACCGGTTTTTATGCAAATAAACACAGTCGTCAACGAAGTTTAAAGTTAGAAGTTTTATTATTTTACTTAGATTATTCTTCTTGTTATCTTGCACCTGAGATCGTCTACAGCAGATCTCAGAAACCCCTGGTTAGATTTACACGGGTTCTACCAAATGTTAGACATACATGTCTAGAAGTGTGTTCAGGGCCAAAAGAAGGGTTAGGCTTACTATAGAACTCTGTGAGATTTTTTATTTTGTTTATGTTTAAATGATTATAACTCGAGAACATTAAGTGATAGACACCTTACAGGTCAAAGGTCAATGCCACTTATGACAAAACCGAAAAAGATATGGAGGATGTTAATAAACTGTTGACACAGAGATATGATATCTCGGTTTTTTAAAAATTACATGTATGCAAAGGTTGAAATTTAAATGGCAAAATTTAAACATGTAAACTATGCAAAACACTCAAAGTCAATAAACCATGACTGAAGGTGAAGGGACAAATAACCTCTATGGAAATGAGAAATGCCAATGCTTATAAACTGCATATCAAATGTCATTGACTTATTATAAGTGGTTCCCTTTAAAATAACCTAAACACAAACTTCAACGTGTAGACTATGCAAAAGATATATAGACAATGGACCATGTTGATGGGCGGAACCATATAGTCTCCATGGAAATGAGAATTGCAAATGCTTATACAACTGCATACCAAATATCATTGACTTAACAGAAGTGGTTTATCTTAAAATGACCTAATATAAAATTAATATATGTTAACTAAGTAAAAGTTATAAAGCCAATAGACCATGATTGAGGATGCAGGGCTAGATAATTTCCATGGAAATGAGATGTGCCAATGTTAAAACAACTGCATACAAAATACTTTTGACATACCACTAGTGGTTCCCCATATATTCACATATTCACAAATTATGTAAACTAAGGGAAATTTACAAAGTCAATAGACCATGACTGAGGGGGAGTGGCCAAATAGTCTCCATGATAATGCGATATGCCAATGCTTATACAACTGCATACCAAATATAATTGACCTACCATAAGTGGTTTCCCATAAACTGACATAATCACAAACTGAAAAATTGTTGACGCCACCACCGGAAACAACAAACCTAGAGTTCTACATGACAAGTAAAATTAAATAAAACAAAGGGTTAGTTGCCAGGGGCCATCCAAACCACTGCCATTTGAGAAAGTTTTGACATCTTGTATTTGGTTGTGATCCCCAACCGTAAATCAAGTCATTTCGTGTTTGACATGTTAAGATGCATGTAATGATAAATAGCATAATTCGCCAGGGGTCATCCCTACCCCCTGTCGTTTGAA